TCTCTCTCTCTCTCTCTCTCTCTCTCTCTCTCTCTCTCTCTCTCTCTCTCTCTCTCTCTCCCCCTCTCACCTTTACCTTTGCGGCCCCAAGTAAATCCATCTAATGCCCCAGTCAATTAATTGACTCCTGTATTTATACCAAAACTGTATTTATGACGATAAATGGGTCATTATACGTTCGTAATCAATTTCATTGAAGCTGCTTTATGAGCGACAAAGACACAGATCGCTGGTGAGCAGTCCAAAGTTCTGCTTCGTGGAACGGAGATAATAGATCGCTTTCGAGTCATTTGTAGCAACGTTTTGATAGTTGGCATAATTATTATTAAATCTATTGTCTGTAATTAAGAACACGTGTCCTTAAAAACTGGTATATTACTATATTTCATTTCTCGGGCAATATAACTAGGCTAAGTGCACTACTGCAATCAAGGCGGAAGGATTGATAAAATTGTTAGTGACTCTGCAGATAAGCTTATTAATATTACATCGTCGTCAATTCCTTTCAAAATGATAATGTACCCCCCCCCCCAATATGAGGATCTTGTGAGACAAGGGTGTGAACTGAACATCTAAAACTACATCATGATATTTGTAGAAACATACTGCGTTATAAAAAACTGTTTTTTTTCTTCAGGAAATCGTTTAGCACCGAAGTTATGCAATCCCTCATGTTTATAACAATTTCTTTCGAATATATTGTCCACAGTCTTCAGAGAGAATAGAATTGTTTAAAACCATCGACACTCTGGCTACAGATGAAGACTTCAGGGACTACTTGGATAAACAAGGTACATGGCTCACTTTATTTGTCACGCACCGTTTCAAAGTGCTCACTCCTCAATTATATCAAGCTTAGTCCTTTATTTTTGAGACTCCACTGACCTTGTGGTTGGTGAGCTGGTCAGGTATACGCATGATAATGCCAGGCATTGCTTGTAGTTGTAGATAGTGCTGTTGGCCACTGGGATGCAGGACAACACGAGTCTAGAGATCTAAAACTAGGAAATGAAGAGCGACGACCTACTAGATCTATGCCGTGTTACCTTTTCGGTTTTTGAAGCTAAGGTATTGACTGACGCGGTGCTTGTCATTGTAAAACAAAGCTCCGTAACTGGAACAAAGGAGTTGACTTTTATTTTCCTTCTCGATTCCTGGTAATATTTAAGCTTTGGTTAGAGACAAGACGAGAGTTCACTTCTCGGCGTGGAAGTATAGGGTGATCCCAAAAAGAATGGTACACCTTTTTTTTCTGAATATCTCGGACAAAATTTGTACTAGATCTAGAATGTTGTAATTTGGAACAGATATAATTCATTCAAAAAGAATTTGTTTGGCATAAACTTCACAAAGAAGAATCTTATTTTGGAAAACGGAAATGGCTTTTTGCAAAAACCACCTATAAATGTAAAATGCACCAATTTAAAAGATCTTGTAAGGAAAGTCATGAGACAATTGGTTTGTTATTTCCTTTCCTTTTATTTTCATAATCTAAGATTTCTATCCCTGTAACCCTTAAACAATAGTTCTTTTCTCCTACAGAGTTAAAAAAACATATTGGGTAAATACTGGAATTTCGAGAACCAATGGTCTATATGTCTTCCTTTGGACTCGACACATTTTAACGCGTCGTTTGTAATGTTCAGTAGAGGCCAAACGTAAGAATCCACTAAACCATGAGTACTCTCAGCCTCACACACTGTACACCTTACAGTACGGAGCTGTCTCTGGAGACAATAGGGGGTGAGGTTGCTCAAATAGACAGCATTTGTGGAGTTGATATAACCTGAAAGGTGAATATGGGCTTTGCTAAGGAACCAAATGTCATAGAAAAAATTAAATGTTCACGCTTTTCAAGACGATAGAAGAATCATGAACACATTGCTATCCTCTGATAGCTTCGCGAACGAGAAAATGGGACAGTCGTAGATGCAGTTCTGCCTTGAGAATGCGGACAGTTTAGATGTAGGAAAGTCATTGCTGCAGACATCGTCTAAGGACTGACGGCTCATGAGGCTCATCTACTGAATTCTGCACATTGGTGACGTTAAAAAGGGTGCGAATGGTGTGTGTTTGACCTGAAGTGGTCGTTCTGTTTGTGAATTTTTAGTTCTGATTCTCTACAGGTCCTAACTGACAGACCATTTCCACCCTTGACATCAAAGAAGGCCTTAAGGGCACTCTAACATTATTCCTGTGCCTTGAGTGAAACTTACAAAATGAGTTGGGGGTGAGAAAATGTTCAATACAAAAAGGTCTCTGATCTTCACTAATCTTAATAATGATCTCAGGAGGTAAAGGAAACTTGAGAAAGACTGTCTACAACCTTCTGTTGGCCCGTTAGACTACTGTAGTTTGCAATATGGTGCAATCGTTGGGATTTTTAGTGGTAGGCGTAATGCGAACTAGTGCGTTTGTAAATGGGTTGTTGTTTTTACGCCCTATGTAGAGCAAAACTCTTCTGTGAATTTATCTAAAATGAATATCAGACAAATTCCTTTTGATTTTTAAATGTTGTGTCCAAATTTGAAAAGCAAAACTTCAGTGTGGAGGAAACTATTAACAAAAGACGTTGTACAGTTGGGGTTTTTTTTTGGATCACCCTGTACATTTTAAAATTGATAATCAGTGCCTGCTGGTACACCCCATTCAGTCTGGGTTGGCTTTGACAGTCAGGGTCAAAGAACTCCCCCCCTCCCCCCACCAACCCAAACCGGAAGATCTAAACTGTGTCGAAGGCACGTTAAACATTTATACTCTGATCAATACCAAGTATACTGCTTTACTAGTAACTAGCTTAATTTGATCAAGACTCGATTAT